ACAATTAAATAAATTGAAATTACTCAAAATTTTATTATGATAACCTATATTATTTTCTAAGTAAAATATGTTCAGTATCTAAAAAAATATATAATTATATATTTTTTAAATAAATTTATTAATTATTAAAACTTTAATATGCTCTGGATATTTGTGAACACTTGGACACTTGGACGTTGGACAGTACCAAAAAAGCCTTTGGACAGTCAAAACATACATTACTGCTTTAAAGTATAGTCAGATCTTCCTAAATATATATTATCGAAATCAGCATTAGAGTATATATTTAGAAAGGGCTGCAATTAAAAAACACCAATAAAATCACAATGTGACTATTATTATGTGATAAATATGACTTTAGTAGTCTAAAATAATAGATTTAATTAGTTGATAATCATGTAGATGCATTTATAAAGAAAGTTTTTATAGTGGGCTAGACAATTAGTATACATTTACAGAATAAAAAATGTGCATCTATCTATAAGTTCTACTATAAGCCCAGGTTTATATTATGTATTTAGGGGTGCTGTATTTAGAAAGGGTGTATTTAGGAGGGTCTAACTATATTCTGTTAAAAAAATAAAATTATTGTATTAAAATAAAATAAAATAATTATTATATTTAATTGGAAATAAAATTTCTCTCTTTATATTAAAGTTAGAATACAATTTAAAATCAAGATAGGAGTTAGATATAAGAGTTCAAATTTAGATTATACAAGATTTTAAAGGTTCTAAAATTTTATTTAATATATTTGATTCTTGTTCATAGTTTCATTCTTGAAATATTATATTTCAGGTAATTTTTTCCAGTTAAGATTAGCAATTCTTATAAAATATAAAATATAAAAATAAAATAAAATAAAATAAATATATATATAAAGGTTGTAGAACTTTGCAATTGAAAATAATCAAAATCTCTTTTATTTTAGAGAAGTTAGCATAATAATAATCTAATTCTATCTATTTTTTAAAATTTGTTATAGTGCTATTTTCTTTAAACAAAAAGAGATTTGATTATTTTTAGTAGTGGAGTCCTACAACCTAATAAAACTTTCTATATATTTTTTTTCGTAGTTTGATTTGTTTTCAAAAAGTACTTTAAACTGTATCAATAATATAAAATTAAATTTATTTAAACAACCAATCATATGAAAATCTTTCTATAAGCCAATATGCCATTCAGTCATTATTCGATCACCTGATCTGGGTTAGATTTTGGTTATGTCCATTTTGCGGATAATAACTGATTTATTCCAGGTTCTTATTATACTTCTATACTATTTTTTTAAATTAAAGTCACGTATTTCATAAAGTTTAGCTTTATTACAATTACAAGATTTCTTTTTGTTTTCTTTTTGTTTTCTTTCACTTTCTTCCTTTTTGCTTTAGCCAGCAACTTTTACTTTTCGTAAACAAAACCATTAAAAAATAAAATATTAGATATATATATAATTAAAAAGAAATAAATATATATAATTAAAAAGAAATATAAAACCTCCGGATCAGCCCGAATCTGAGACCTGGGCAATAAGTAGTATAGAAGTATAAATAAGAACCGGGGAATAAGTTGTCGCGTGTTAAGATATCAACATTTCCATTTACATTTCTTCTCATCCACAATTTCAATCTTATCACTATAAAACACTGGATCACTATTATATAGTCTAGACAACTGCTGATTCGTACAAAAATTACATTTTACTGTAATTATTGTAGAATCACTCGATTTTTCATAAAAATTCTTAAATGCATTTAATCTCTTCATAAAATTCACCCTGATACGTACCCAAGAAGCATTATTCATACGAAAGAATAACGATACTATGTATTAAGAAATATTACATGATAAGCATAAGTACGTATTAATCTTATGTTAAATATCGATATGCACTCCAATTTATATTTAATTTGACAATCAATGATACTAATTTAGATTAGACGCGCGTAATTTTACTGAAAAAAGGAGTTAAAAATTTTAAATAGTAACAATATTCAGAGGTTTATTTTTATTATTATTCATATATAAATATTATTACTCTAATCTGTATGACCATATAAAAGATTCTCAGGGATACTGTGCAGTTAAATTTCATTCTAAGGAAAATAATAAAATGAGTTATAATATTGTTTAAATGAGATATTAAAAAAAAATAATCACAGAATCATGCTAAAATGAAGTTCTCAAAGCATTGTACAGGAAATACGTGAGAAATAATATTTCCACAGATAAAAAAAAAAAATATCGCTATCACTATCTATTTGAATAACAATGGTTACCGTGGATCATTGAAAGTTTAAATATTCACTATCACTATCACAAGTTCTATTATATATCAAGCGATTGTAAACATTAGTACCAGTGTAGGGACAGTTTAAAATGTTTATATATTAAATTTAAACCGAGGTTTGTTCGCTAACAAATAATTTCAGACATTAAACTATATTAAATATTAAAAAAATTAAATATTTAATCAGTTAATATATCTTAAGGAAAATTTTATCTTGATTTTCTCCATTCTTTTATATGCTATCTAATTTTTTTCCCTACAACATACGATATAAACCGAATGTTATAAATGTTTAAATAGGAAAACTAATGGTTTTTATCACTCTTTTTTTTTTTTTTTTTTTTTACAAAATATTGTCTACGAGACAACATCTATTTATAATGAAAAACCAACGTGCAGCATAAAAATAATAAAAAATTGTGTATCGCTGCCTATTTTTTATAGTTCATACTTTAGAAAAAAGTCCGGTCTTTAATAGGGACTAAATCGTACTGAAGGAACCTTTTTCTCATGTGGTGTACCCGGACGTTGATATCCATGTTGTTTCAAGAAAAGACCGCAACGATTACCTGAGTTGATTAGGGCAATGATAAAATACTTAATTTTTTTTACATAAATTACATAAAATATATAAATTATTTTTTCGAGAATGAATGGTAAACTTACAAAGTTTGCTTCCTTCGGGTCCTCTCCAACAAGGAGTATTTTGAGTTCCACAATTTTGACATTTTGGTTCACCAATACCCGATTTTTCGGTTTTTACCAAACGTATTTCACCATCCACACCAACTTCAGTTGGTCTGTGACACCCTTTAACCTTCAAACTAAATTTATTTAACACGACATGAAATTAATAATAAAAGAATTAATAATTAATAAATAAATAATTACAAAAAAAAGTAATATTAACAATAAAATTGACAGTAAAATTGACAGTAAAATTGAAAGTATTAAATAGTATATTAAATAATATATTAATAGAAAATTAATAAGATAAATAAAATAAACATACTATAATCCACAAGCGTTGCAAAGCAAAGCTTCACCACGAAGGTCTCTTCTCCATGCAGGAGTTTCTCTGGCACCACAATTTGAACAACGGTAAATTTCACCATTTTTACTTTTATGTTCAGAATTTTGATTAGATAAACCGACACCAGAAAGAAGGGGAGAACCGATAGTAGCTTTTGTTTTTCTGCGTCGTCTTCTTTTAGGTTGAGAAGGTTGAACGGAATTGGTACATTCTTTACATTCATCCTTCTTATCAATATTAACATTGTAAACATTATTTCCTGAAGAAATTTGTTGTTCACACTTTGCAGAAATTTGGGAAGATTGAATAGTATGCGAAGGAGTATAGACCACAGTTGGAGGAATAAAAGGGGGTTGTTGATAAATATTACCATTTGCCAATGCCATATAATATTGCATTGGAAATGGATATTGATGAGCACTAGAATAATTTGAATGATGACATTGAGCACACATTGGATTTGTACATTGAGCGGTTTCGATTTCAACTTTTTGACGTTCACCACCGGGTTGACCTTGAGAATTAATTAAAGGATTATAAACAGATTTTGTTGAGACATAAGAAGTAGTCGGATATCTAGAACCTATATCAGATTGGGTATCATTCTCAATTGATCTTGGATTAAGGTTAATTGCAAGGTCAGCAAGATCATGGATACCAATTATGCGACCTTCATTACTACGAATAATATCTTGATGATGATCATTGTCACGAACGATATCTTGATGAGATTTAGGATCCATATAATCAGTAGAATTGATCATTTCAGTAGTGGAAGGTTCGTTAAATTTAGGAGCGTCATCAAGAGGATCTCTATGATCTTTTAAGTTTTCGCTTGGAGAAGAAGGTTGAATAGGAGAAGGATCGAACCATTGAGGTGATAAAGAAGGTGATGATTGCGAATGCATGATATTACAAATGTTGTGAAGAGATAATAGATTTGTTGATTGAGGAAGATCCTCAGATTTAGCGACGATTTTCATGTCTTGAGAACGGTTTGAAGAATCGCTTTCTCTTAAACCAGGACTTTTAATATCAGACATTGTTAATAAATAAACCAAATATGAAAACCTTCAAAGCTATATATGAGTATATATGAATATATATGATTGTATATGGTTATATATTAGTATATATGATAAGTAATAAACATTGGTAATAATTTCAATAAAATTTTTTAACATAATTCCAAATAGTAATGAATAAATTCTATTCACATTATACTTACTCCTGAAATTGACAAATTGATGAAAAGGTTCGGCTTTTTAAATGTTTACCTGTTCGAATGAAAATAAAAAAAAAAACTTTCTTTCTATATCACAAATTCATATTACTAATAGAGAGCTTTATCATCAAACTAACTGATAAATAGGTAAAGAGATAATGTTTTTGATAGAACCAAGTGATAAGAATCCTTTATATAATAATCAAAAATCAAAGGATTTTTTTTTCATATACGAGTGATAGTTTGATTCGTGATGATCTAGTGATAACAAAGGAACCAACGCTTACCCTAAATTTTTCTATTGTTCTTTACCGTTCGTACGTAAAATGAAAAATTTTTCGCGAACGAATACAGATTACGGAATGAAAAAAAGAGTCACGAAATGAATATGTTTAAACCGAATGGGTAAAAAGGCATAGATGAATTAAAATGTATCATGGTAGTATTTATATATGAATTCAATAGCTCATGATGGAGTAGTAAAACCGATATAAGATGATGTAATGTAAGCCCATATATAAAAAGTTTCTTGGTGATTTATAATCAATCAATATATCAATCATTCTGAGTTTCAAATGAAATATATGAGTTTACAGTAAACACGCGTATTTGACTGGGTATCTGGATAAAAATTGATCGTTTTTTTAAAATGTCAATATTGAAATCAGAATCAGTACTGATAGTGAAAAGTATCAACGGTTTGATTGATCAAAGTCTTGATGAAAGAATGTGACTTACATTCACGCGATCAATCGATATTTTATAATTAAAACGTTGCTAATTATGTGTCATCTCGTGATTAGCTAATTTATCTATCATTTTTTTTCACTTTCCGACACGATATTAATCGAATCATTTATCAAACTCGAATCTGCCTTATACTTAATGCACTATATGTGTAGATAAAATGATTGATAAAATTTTATATTTCGATTTCATATATTTATATTTCATACATTTCATAAAGAATACAGGCGCGCTTCAATGTACCTAATAATTTACATTACTAAATAAATAACTTTTTCCGTTGCTTTTTGAACACGACAAGTTCATATTGTTCATATTTGGATGACAATAGCTTTGGTGCACCACTTCTATAAATGAAGAAATGCCGAACAAAAATGCTCTTACCTACTATTACAATAGATTTAACGCGTAACTAATTTACACGAATCTACGTTTAAGAAGATTGATTAAGAAGATCGTTTTATTTCGCTGCCTTATAGATGAGAGTGCACGATCACGTGATATTTTGACATCCCTTATGCATAAATATATTTTCTATTAAGATTTATAAAAAAGTTGCAACACTTTCGCCTCTTTCGTCTCTCTTTCGTTTCTTTCGCCTTTCTTTGCCTAGACAATACGTATATGTGCTATTGTACGATGCCGGAGATTTCCGTTTAATTAAGATAAATTCCGACGTAATTTTAAAATGGTCGGAGATATTCCGATTCCTTATAGTCATACAAATTTCATTGGTCATTATCGTTATATCGATATTGATATCAAAAAAAATGCTTCCAAAAAAATAACAAATTACATCATGAAAAAATTTTGTGCATTGATACGTAATAAAGCATTAAATGGACTTATTACATTTATCAATATTCACGAACAAAATAATCAACTATTATTAATTTTTGAGCATAAATTCATTATAAAATCTATTTGAAACTCTGTAACCTTTTATTGTGCTAATATGGTTTGCGTGCACTGATTTCATTTATAAAATCAATTTACTTTGTAATGATCTTTATAATGAATTTTAGATGATGACCTAAATTTATATTGATTTAATATTAAAGTGTGATAAGCCCTTAGAAAGATATAGTAATCTCATATAATTCTTTAAGTCATCGGTTTATACAGAATCGATTGCGCATAAAACATAAATTCCACAATTCTACGTAGCCTATGGTTAACTCGTATTAAATAAAGTCGTGTGGAACCAGCAATTAATACCACAAGAGATTTCCTTTTAAATCATTCTTCCTGGCT